GATCAAGTATGAATTAGATATCAATGTTTATAATTTAGAAAACTGATTGGGGTCGCATGAAGTAACAGGGAGGGGGAAGGAGTGGTTAATAATGGAACGATGATGAAACGTTTTACTCACGAATGGTAAAGTGCAATTTTTCTAATTGATTTCCCAAAGTACAATACATTTCCCCAACTGCAGTAAATTTCTCCTACATATAGGAGTGCATTTCCCCTCTTGGAGTACATTTCCCCAACTGCAGTACATTTCCCCAACATCCAAGTTATATTAATTACTATTTATATATTTTTTAACATGAAAAACGAGAACTTCCCTGCTTAAATCAATCCTTGGTAAGCGTTTGAACGGTAATTTATCAAATTCAAAGTTCACTTAGAATTATGTTGACAGACTTGAAAATTGTGGATATCGAGAGCAAAACTTGATCTCCTCTTTTTATTAATCTTACATTAATATCCAGGAAAGTATCTTAAATCAGAGCGTCGATTGTAAAAATCGAACAGCCAATCAGAAACAGACAAATTTTGAAATTTCGCGCGCGATCCATGGGTCTCTCATTGGTCGGAATCCAGTAGGGATATCCAAAAGAGAGGATCATAAAGAAAATCAGAAGTGTCCACATTGGATAAAGAGATTTAGCATGCAATCGGGATTAAGGGTTTCCCAATACAAAAGTTTTCAGCTCTGTCCCTTTAAGTTTAGGCTGAAGAGAGGAATAATATTAAATAATATTATTTGAGTATGAAGAGTAAGTGAAGTGTCGTATAACTAATTATGTTGTATATTGTACAATGACTTAATTAGGTTTTGAACCTAATTATCGTGAATATATCTTATATATGTAGTGAGAGATATATATCTGTGGTTTCTCCCCCCCCCCCCCCTAGAATGAATAGTTTATACCATAGATATATATATCCTATGATTGATTTACAGAATAACCTATGCATATTTAATATTTCATGGATAACATTTTACTTATCAAAATAAATCTACATATTACGCTATAAATGGGAGTTGTGACATTTCATATAAATATATTTCATAGATGGGACATTTCATAGATAAGACATTTCATAGATAGAACATTTCATAATTAGGACATTTCATAGATAAAGACATTTTATAGATAGACAAGATTCTACAAATGATATTTTTAAAAAAATTTAATTAAATTTTTTAACTTCAAAATCAATTTTTTTTAATTCGAATTTTTCATTTCACGAGCAGGTAAACGCCGGAAGTAATTTTGAGTAGTTTAAAACTTAAAACTTTTAAATATCTATGAAATGTCTTTCTATGAAATGTCCTATCTTTGAAATGTCCGTCTATAAAATGTCTTTCTATGAAATGTTCTATCTAGGAAATGTCTTATCTATGAAATGTTCTATCTATGAAATGTCCTATCTATGAAATTATGAAATGTCCTAATTATGAAATGTCCTATCTATGAAATGTCCTATCTATGAAATGTCCTAATTATGAAATGTCCTATCTATGAAATGTCCTATCTAAGAAATGTCCTAATTATGAAATGTCAATGTCCTATCTATGAAATGTCCTATCTATGAAATGTCCTATCTATGAAATGTCCTATCTATGAAATGTCCTATCTATGAAATGTCACAACGCCTATATATGTAGTGTAAGTTTGTTTTTTCCCCAAGATTTGCTGTACAATTTGCAATAATAATATACTGAGAATTAGTAAAGATATGTTTTCAGAATTAGTTTTTTTTTATTTTTGAATAACGACAACGAAAAATAAAGTAAAATTATACAGTAATCTAATTAGATGGTTAGAAACATATTTCTCAAAAGAAATTTGTCAAAAAATCAATGCTAGAATCAATAATTTCTTTTTTCATTATTACATTGAATTTCTTATTTTCTTTGAATTTATTCACGGATGTCGTCTTTTCAATAATATTTCTAGAAAATGTGCGAAAATCTTTGTGAAAAATGAGAAACCAGAATAATGAGAAAATAGAAACTAATAATTAAAAAGATTACTTATTTTCGATGATAAGATTAATTTTATTTTCTCAACATGTTCCTATACATGACATGACGTCTGTAGTTCATTGTAGAACTTTTTTTTACATTTTATGTCGTCGTTATTTAATAACTTTAAAAAAAACTAATTCTGAAAACGTATCCACCCCCAAAAGTAGGAATTTTGAACGTCGAATTTGCGCTCAAACTCAGGATTTACAGATCTTTAAAAAGTGTTATATGTCTCAAATGAATCCGAAAGAAGTTTTCCACCACACTGTATACTCAGTTCAACTACCTTACATAGGCGGTCACTCCCTTTAACGAAATCACATAATTTCTTATACTTAAACTTTTAAACCCCCCCCCCATTCTCATACTCCCTTCCCCCCCTTTTTGCCACTGTTTGTTGGGACAACTTTTTTCAAACTTTTAATTTAAATCTTATTTTGCAACTTTGAACTTGTAGACTGTTTTCTGGAGAGAGTACTGTCAAGAGTAAGAAAGGTAGGACCAAGGAACTAATGCAAGGAAAGTTATTTTAGAGGTGTTTGCATTTTTTGAATCTATTTTCACAAAAATAATCTATGAAATATTCTGGCCATAGGAAACTACTATGTGAATTTTCAAAATTTTCAAATATAAATGCTTTTAACCTCCTCGGATACTAAACGAACACTGATGCATCTATTCTTGTTTACAAATTCCGCCCAGAGAGAACTGGTTTCAATATGTACGCAGAGTATACGCGACCGCAATTAACTTTCCTTGCATTAGTATCATTAGTACCTTGGGTAGGACAGAGTTACCCACAAACAACAAGACTGTAAAGACGACCCAAGGTTAAATTAGATCGTCTGTTTTGAAAATAGGCTTTTTTAGGCTGTTTAATAATTTGGAAAAGAAAGAAAATGAGTTTATAGTTGCAGGGAATTATTTATATTGAACCAGACAGTTTAAATTACTATATAGTCGTCTCTGAAGTCTCATCCTGTAAGGGAACCCCGTATTCAAGCAGACTATTGAAATATGTTCACGGTGTAAATAGAATTAAATTTCAATTGAAATTTTTTTCTCGCCAATTCGAATGTAAAAACTCCTATTTCTGACAACCAAACTTTTTCTCAAACAAACTAAACTCAAACTAAACTTTCATTTCAGGTCTAGCTCATGCGTTTTTTAAATTATATTTATAACAGGTAAATGAATAACTGTTGTTAAACCCCTAACTGCAGGTGATTGATTGATTGAAATAAGTAACCTTGTGAGGGTTCTAAGATGTGCTTCTATAGCTCTGTGGCGAATAACAATCCTGGTCAGACATATTCCAATATCTGTACTCGAACCTAAAATATTGAGTTAATATTAGAAAATAAGTTTTCTGTCATTTTGTTTATCTTTCAAACAAGCAAATCTGTCTTCTAAAGCTTTTTAAATTCTATATTTTTGTTGTTGAATATATATTGAAACTTGTAAAGGATTGTCTATGCTAAATGTATGTTAATATTACGTTAAAAAGAAAAATATGACCTAATTAGTTCAGACTAAAAACTTCTCTTCTTCAAGATCTATTGAGAAGAATATTTGTGATTAAAATTAAAACTAAAGGAGCTACGAGGTCACAAAGTCGTGCCAGAAATGTCGCATATATTTGAACTTCTGCCTTGTTTACAGTGACATGGAGTTCACCCTTGATAAAAAACTAAATCATTGTAAAATATATTTCCAACCTTTTGTATTTGATGATTTCATGAGTCTGCTTCCCATATTAAGAAAAATTAGTTAGATGTGACATTTTGTTTTCAAGTTTTTAATTGAACGCCATTTTAAGTTTTAAAAAAATGTACTGCACATAATTGAATTAAAAAATAAATTAATTGTACTGCACATAATTGAAGTAAAAATAAATTAGATGTACTGCACATAACTAAATTAAAATATATTTAAATGTACTGCATATAATTGAATAAAAAATTAATTAAATTTACTGTACATAATAGAATTAAAATATAAATTAAATATACTGTGCATAACTGAATTAAAATATGATTTAAATGTACTGCACATAATTGAATTAAAAAATAAATTAAATGTACTGCACATAATAGAATTAAAAAATAAATTAAATGTACTGTACATAATAGAATTAAAATATAAATTAAATGTACTGCACATAATTGAATTAAAATATAAATTAAATGTACTGCACATAATTGAATTAAAATATAAATTAAATGTACTGCACATAATTGAATTAAATAATAAAAAAATTTGTACTGCACATAATTGAATTAAAAAATAAATTAAATGTACTGCACATAATAGAATTAAAAAAATGAATTAAATGTACTGCACATAATTGAATTAAAAAATGAATTAAATGTACTGTACATAATAGAATTAAAATATAAATTAAATGTACTGCACATGATAGAATTAAAATATAAATTAAATGTACTGCACATAATAGAATTAAAATATAAATTAAATGTACTGCACATAATTGAATTAAAAACTATAAGTTACTCTGCTCTGAAAATTGTCATAATAATGATAATTTGTTTGAGCCTTTTAATTACAGATTGGATGCAAAAATATTTATACAATCTTTAAAACGATATCATAAGTCATAGCTAAAAAGGCGAACACTTTAGATGCATAAACTTTACAGACATTCACTTAATTTAGTGAATGGTAAAAACCTTCTTTTCTTTATTTTTGCATTTCAGCAAAATATATTATTTTTCTTATGAAAACTTAAGTGCTCATAAGAGAACAAATACATCCTAAATTTGTGAACAATCCCTTTACGTTTTGTTATAATTTAGGATGTACAGAGTACAGACTACAGACTACAGAGTACAGAGTACAATATCCTTTTATCAACTATGTTACAAAATATCTAATTTAGGATGTACAGAGTACAGAGTACAATATCCTTTTATCAACTATGTTACAAAATATCAAATTTCTACAGGATCTATTTCATACATGATGCTACATCATTTTGTTCTATAATCAAAGAGATTTGCGAAATAAAAATAGTTGAAAGATTATGAAGTTGAGTTCTAGGATGGAAGGGGGGAGGGGG